CCTTAAATCCAATCAACTTTGAAAGATAGAGTGCTTAATGCTTTGCCTCAAGATGAAAAATTTCAAGACATCATAAAGAAAGTGCAAGCAGGGCAGTTAGAGAACTTTGTTATGGATGGAGAAGGATTATTAAGGTATAAAGGCATAATCTGTATTCCAAATGTTGGAAGCTTAAGAGAAGAGATATTGTAGGAAGCTCTCTTCTCAACATATGAAATTCATCCAGGCAGTACAAAGATGTATCAGGAATTGAGAGGATTATTTTGGTGGCCAGGACTAAAAAGAAATGTTGCAGAATTTGTAGCAAAATATATTCCCTGTCATATGATTAAAGTAGAACATCAAAAGCCAAGTGGTCAAATACAACCTCTACCTATACCTGAGTGGAAATGGGAGGACATTACAATGGATTTTGTAATTGGATTACCCAGTTCAGGGCAGAGTCGTGATGCAATATGGGTTGTTATTGACCGATTAACGAAGTTAGCTCATTTCTTACCAATCATACAGACAGATTTCAGTGGAGAAGTTGGTAAAACTATATGTTGATGAAATTGTGAGATTGCATGGAATTCCGAAATCTATAGTTTCAAATAGGGATGCTCGTTTCACTTCTAAATTGTGGAAAAAAATTCAGGTAGCCATGGGTACCAGATTGACTTTCAGTATAGCATTTCATCCTCAGACGGATGGGCAATCAGAAAGGACAATTCAGACTGGAGGATTTATTGAGATTATGTGTTTTAGATTTTGGAGGAAATTGGGAGACTCATATACCGTTGATTGAATTTGCATACAATAATAGTTTTCAATATAGTATTGGAATGACACCCTACGAGGCTCGTTATGGAAGAAAATGCAGAATGCCCTTGTGTTGGATAGAAACTGGTGAAAGAAAGGTAATTGGAACTGAACTGGTAGATGAGCCTACTAGCAAAATCAGATTGATCAGAGATAGACTAAAGGCAGTTCAAGATAGGCAGCGGAAGTATTATAATGCAAAGCACTGACCAGTGGAATCTGAAGTTGGAGAATCTGTTTTCTTAAAAGTCAGCTCAATGATAGGTGTGCAAGATTTGGAAAGACTGGAAAATTGAGCCCAAGATTCATAGGTCCCTATGAAATCATAGAAATGATTGGAAATATGTCATACAGATTAGATCTACCAGTGCATATGCAAGGAATTCATAATGTATTTCACATATCAGTGCTTCGAAAGTATGTCTCAGATGTTTTAAAGAGAATCCAATCCAAATCAATTGACTTGCAACTTGATTTGAAATATGTTGAAGAACCTAAATGAATACTGGATTATGATGTAAAACAGTTGAGGCATAAGGCAATACCTTTTGTGAAAGTTTTGTGGAAGCATGAAATAGAGAAAGATGACACCTGAGAGAAGGAAGCTGAAATAAGAAGTCAATTTCCTCATCTTTTTAACTAAGGTATGTTTCCTTATACTTGATTAATTTCGACGAAGAAATTTTATAAGTAGGCGAGATTGTAATGAACCGAATGGGTGGCCGGTTCGGTTACCCGTCGTTTAATAGCCACAACCCCAAAAAGGGGTTGGTACTGTTGCCATTCGCGAACAGACAAAGAGAGGCGGAAGCAGGGCGGGCCGAGCATTTGCGTGGGAGGTATGGGGAGTTTTTCTTTTATTTTTTTTAGCAAATTCGTGATTAGGGATGAAAATAATAAACTGCTCTTAACTCCTTTTCTATTCTTATCGCTAAAGGAGTGGAATTTAGGAAGAAGCGAGAGAAACAATCGAGAGGAAGAATAAGAAGAAGGTTTATCTTTACATCCTTTATTTCTATATAAATCCTTCCCAAATTCTTCATCTAAGCAATCATCTAAATAATGAGGGTGTTTCGTTAAGGGCAAAAGAAGAGATTTGAAGAATTCGAAAAAGAAAGGAGAAGGATTTTGAGTTGGAATAATCATCTTTTGTAAGTGATTTTCTTATCATATGTTTTCATTAAATTTTGTAGAATAAATCCCTAAAATTATCTTATGACAATTTTTGAAGAAGGAAAGAAAGAAATCAAGTGGTACAAGTTGGGTTCTTCAAGGAAATTCAACAAGGATAGAATTTTGAGACTGAGATTGAGACAAGGATCGACGAACTGAAAGATCAAAGTGGGTAAATTATGTTGTTTTATAATTTTATTCATAGTTGGAATCTTTTAAAGTGATTAATTAATTGTGTATTACATAATGTTGAAGATATTATGATTTTATAGTCTTATCAATAAATTCATCCATTATAAATGTTTGAAAGTTTATGAAAAAAGGTATTACTTATAAATGCACATGTAAGAGATGTTATATACAATTATAACAATGAGGATGAAAAAGGAAAAAGAGAAAATAGAAAAGAAAAGAGAAGTAAAAAGTCATATATGTATGGAATTAAAACAAATGTAGCATAAAAAGAAAAGGTATTAAAAACTGCAGGATTTCACCCCCTTATGGTACTGGCTGGGGACGCCGTACTTGTGCACGAAAAGGAAAAGAAAAATTTATGGAAATGGAAAAGGAAATAAATAGAAAAGGTTGTACATTTGGGTACTTTGAGACGGTGCTCCTGTGCAAATCAAATGGGAAAATAAAATATAAATGAAATATTAAAGATTTAAATTATTTTAAAAGAAAATGTCGAGAGATGTATAAATTAATGAAATGAAAGAAATAAGGTTAAGAAATGATATAATACATATTAATCATTATTTATATTGATTGCTTTAAATAGATACCCACTGAGTTTACTTAGTAAACTCAACCCACGAATTTAAATATTTCAGGTAAGTCCCCAAAAGAAAAGAGATCGATGAAAGAGAAGATTTTGTCTATAGAAAACGACATGCAATTGATAACATGTAATTTACATTTTGTGTTTTAGTGGCTCTTTAATACAAAAGAAGAAGTGGTACAATGTTTAATGAATTCTATCGTCCGACTTTCCGTACCCGTCTCATTAGATCGAGCATCCAGGCCGGGTTGTGACACTCCTCTTGATCAACATCTTCACTCGAATCTGCCACCAGGTAGGAACAAATGAGAGCCGCATGCAGAAGATCGCAAAGGGGAAATCCTCTCACTTGCTCGGTCGCCCTAGATCGCAAAGGGGAAATCCTAACACATAATATCTGGATTTTCGCAAGTAACATGTTTTGAACTTTGGCAGAATGGAAATCACATATTGCACTTAATCATAAGGCCAAATAATTTTTTTCGTTTCTAGTGGAATTAAATTCATATAAACAAAATCAAAGTAAGAAAAAGGAAAATTATTTTAAGATTCAATCTAAGGAATATTATTTTAAGATTCAAGATTTTTCTTATTCTGTCGATTTCATTCAAATATTTAAAATATTGGTGTTGTCTAATATTATTAGTTATAAATAAAACATAAAAAATACAAGTTACATAATATTATAGATTTATACGTGCAAAGTACAAACAATTATATTATTGGTGTTTTGGATCTAATATATAATCTATCTTAAAATAAACTAAATGAAAGCTTATATTTATGGTTATACCTTGGCAAGAATGAGAAGGAAAGATGGCTTGGGTAGACTTCTTGCAAGGTCACTAATGATATCAAAAAGGTTGGATGAAGTAAAGGAGTCATAGACTTACCCTACATAACGTGCCATTGCCTAGGTCGAAACTCCAAGAGGACAAAGAGGGTGTCAAAAGCTGTAGTGTTTGTTGTGATTTTGATGAGGGGGAGACTCTTGGTTGTTAAGGCTTTTGGTAGGAGAAAGAAGATGAGGAGGATGGCTCTATTGAAGGAAGAAGGTGACGATGAAGCGGAGGAAGGACTGAGGGGGGAGTGTGATGCATGGGTTCTTAAAATTCACTCCTCTGTCTCTCCGCAACTTTTTTTTTTATATACAAGGAAAGTTTTAACGATATTTAGGTACCGAGATAAATTTTCAGAAGACAGATTGAATTTTAGATATGACACTACCGAGTGATTTTGTCCTCATTTTGTGAGGACTTTATGATATGGGGTCTGATTTCTCATAGGTACAAGCCTCTATAGTTAATTACCCCTTCCGATAATGAGAGCGCTTTCGTTTAAGTCTAATCGTTTGATAGATAGTAAGCACCTATCATATAGTAACAACATCTTTAAAATTTAAAAATTAGATATGAGAATTTTTTAAGATTTAAAATTTATCACCGTACATTTATAGTGGATGATGGGGGAATAATGAAGAGTCGAGTCAGGATCCCATGGTTATGTTGTCCTGGACTATCACGGTCTTTAGTCTACTTAGTCAAGGGTGGTGGTCGACCCAACCTGATCTAAGGATCATTGTCATTAGTTATGGTTTTCGTCGTCCAAGCATACCTCGTAGACTTGGGTTAAATGTTTGCCTAAAGGAATATATTTGAGTCCACCTTAGTTAACGAAGGGTTTTATGGCCTATCAATTGTACCTTATTGATTCATTCCTCAAGAAGGGTTTTATGGTCTATCAATTATACCTTATTGATTTATCACTCAAATATTTAGAGCCATTGAAAACATACGGGCTCTAATTGCAACCGTAATTTTGTGGTATCATTTTGTCGGCAAAACCATCCAATCAGAGGGCCCCAATCATAACCGTTTATATGTTATGCCATTTGGCGGCGAAATCACAAGTTAGAAGACATGTTCCACATCCTTATTGACAAACGATGGTTTGAGAATGAATCTTAGTAATATTCTCGACTGAATATTTATTCTTTGTGAGCTGAAGTAATTTTTAAATTTATCAACCTCAACAAACTTTTTTTTCATAACAGGGTAAATTATTGTTACTGTTTGCATTAGTTAAGTTTTAAAACTAGTGTACTTTTTCACAAAAATATCGAAGTACCTGGAGATTTTTTGCAAATTTCCCAATGTGGTATGTGTTTTGATGAATTTACCTTGCAGATTTTGTGCTTGTGACCACTAATTTTCACGCAATCTTTTTAATATAAACTCTCTTGCAGGTCTTGTGTTGCTTGGGACCCCTATTCCCCAAGAATCTCAGTTTATTTTGGCAAGATGAGGTATTGCAATTGTAAGGTATTTTTTAGATTTATTGGAATGTATTCCATTGATTGATGCTCATTGTAAAAGGTTTCATTTCTTTTTGAAGGTTTTACTTGGATATCTAATTGTAGCGTGTTAACTTATTTTTTGCAAGCTTTTCTCAGAACAGATGCTATTCAGATTAATCAATTTTTTTGGCCCTTGATTGACCTTTTCATAATTTATTTTTTGTCATGCTCATGTTTAGCCAGAAAATTTTCTGTAGGATTAGATAGTTGTTAAAAGTTCTTGTGTTTTCAGTAGTTTGATGGATTGCATTGTTCCTAAAGTTTAGTTGGTTTGAAGAGAGTGATTTCTGTTCTTAGAAATGGGCCGTGTGATCTCAGTTTTTTCTCCAGTAAAAATTCAGATTTATTGAACTTATTTGCGATGTATTTATTTGGTCGATTTTTTTTTTGTGGAGTTAAATGAATGTACTTCAGAAATTATCTGAAATAATCTCAAATTTCGTTAATAAATCGTTTTAGTAATTTTGTACTGCTTTTGAACATTGAGGTACTTTGTTCCATGGTAAAATTATAGTTCTGTTTATCTTACAGTTCCTTTTGCTCGAGAACAGGTTCCCAAATTGAAGGCATATATCAGTGACCCAGAAGATCTAAAGCAGGATCTTTCATACCAGGAGACGTGGGATGATATGATTATCAATGCAAGTATTATTTATGAAAATTCAAAGGCTATTTTATGTTAATCACAAAGCAGCAATTCCTTTTGTTCTTTTAGCAGAACCTTTTGCCTCAATATATGTTTTGATGTCTTCAAACTCATTTTTTGTTGATTGCTGACCTTATTGTTTTATCCTTGTATAACCTAATAATATTTGCTTTTTTTCACTACCTTCTGTTTAATATATTATTAACTATTTTTCATAGCATAGTCGTTGAATATTATTTGCCATTGCAGTTCATATCGGAATCTTTAGATGTTGTACAAGACACTGAATGGGTCATTTTATTGGGCAATGCTTTTGCAAGACAATATGTGTTTTATGTTGGTGATGATGAACATGCTGCAATGCTTCATAGGTACTGTGATTGTTTGTAAAAGTTCCCCCATTATATGCTAACATTTGGCATTTCCATGCCTTGGATGAGAATCTCTCTTATATTGAGCAACATCTCAAGAGCCTTTCTTTGTTGTTATAATTACACTTTTACTATAATTATGATGAGCTATTTGTTTATTTCGCTTCTTAGATCATTGAATAGTATGCTGGGCAATATCATTTCAATTTGTACATGCAATGCAGATTTCCGAGCTGGTTCTTGCTTGGCCACCAACCATGAACAAGAAAATCAATGATAATAGAAAAGAAAAAAGTCTTCACTCTAAGTATCCAATTACATCATTTTGATTTCTATGCTGTCTTTTTTTGCAATAATCAGCTAATGGCATGATCTTGATATAATTTCATTTATGGTCTGATGCATCAATGGGTTTTGATTGGAAGGTGAACTTTGTGGAAATTAATTTAAATTTTTTTTGTTCATGTGGCTGTTACGCATGATGATTTATGTCTTTATGATTGTAAGAACGCATGAATTTGCTTCACAAAAAACTCAGATGCAATAAGATTTCCGTGAGTTACATATTTTTATATCTTAGAGTCTGGACCAAACTCACTGGTTAGACTTTTGCCTGCTATAATTTGAAGTCATTGGTTCGAATTACAAAACCAACTCTTCATAATGATAGGTTTGTGTATAAGAACCTCTCTAGAGTCCCTATGTTTGTGTCAACCTCAACGTCCTTTTTTTATATATATATTTTTTATTTTTTACCAATTTGAGATATCTTGGAACGCATAACCTTGTTGTATAAGATGTTAGATGCACAAGTCCTTGTATTCCGTGATAAAATTAAAGAACCATTTTGATCTATTCAAATCTCAAACTTGATGTGACACATGGAGGTGTCCTATCACTATAGTAAGAGCAATAGCACATGGTGGATCCATTAATAGATCCAAAGCTCAAGTTAGGAAGAAACAATGAAGATTTATAAAGAAGATTCATTTTATGTTTAATGTGTTGTAAGGTGTTGTTTAGACTTTGCGATGTGTTATTTTGATTTTCTTGTGCTCAAGTGTTAAGTCAATGTCATTGTCTAAGTCTGCATGTGAGGAATTGGGTAGTTGTAGGTGTTTACATGTGGACAAAGTCAAAGGAAGCAAGGGGAGCCTGCCCCACCCTCCACACCTATTCCCTTCATTATTTGAATTTGAATTGCAAGAGATGTATCTCTTGAGTTGTGTAAGTTGTATAAAAATTTCATTTTTTGAATTGAAAGTGCATTTTGGTCATTTAACACACTTTGGAAAGAAATTCAAAGGAGCAGTGGTAGTTTGGTGGCCGACCAACCTGATAGGAAACACTTGTTGAAATCATTATTAACTTGGCTGAGTTTGAATTTCAGCAAGGTGCAAAATCAGAAATAAGAATGTAGGGGAAACACAAGCGAGAAATAATTATATTATAGTAGATGGAAGAAAACACATAAGATATAATTGATCCTCAATTGGAGAGGAGGATCTGACTGTCCGGCTTCAATAAACAAGACATCACCCTAACGTTAGGAAAAATACCCTACTGAAAGCATACAAAAATATCCCAAATCCCCAAATAGCCCTTTGCATTTTGAATTCTTTCCCTCTTAGCAGTCATCCCCCTTGATTGGCGGAAGCCTCTCCACCTCAAATAGGTGGAAGCCTGTCCACCTTAATAGGCAGATCTTTTCCGCCTTCAAACTGGCGGATATAATCCGCCTCCGAACAACCGGACCAGGTTAGATCGACTAGATCGGTCTAACAAAGTCCCCCTCCAAAAGACCCACCTTGTCCACAAGGGGGAAAGATGGCTCTTCCTCAATTTTCTCGTCATCACAAGTTGTGAGAACCTGAAGCTATCGGTCCTTACATCGGTGCCCCGTAATACAGCTCTCCTCACATATGAAACAAATCCCCTTCACCCTCTTCTCTTGTAATTCCATTTTTGTGAGCTTCTTAAAGTTTTTCCCTGGTATCTCTCCTACAGTCTTCTTATTCGGGGTTTCCCTAGGAGTAATCGACATTGGCTCCATGGATGCCAAAAAGGTGGTTGTCATCCTGTATGAACCTCCTGAGCTGCTGCTTACAGTCCCTCTCTCATGGTGCCTCTGATCTTCCACTAACTGAGCTAGCTCCATAGCCTCTTCAAGTCACGAGGTCTCATCACCCTAACTGCCACACCAATATCTGGTTTGAGCCATTTCATAGCATTCTCCTCTAGTACAGTCTTCGGAAGTCGGTTTAGTCTACTGGCCAGATGCTCAAATTGCTCATTGTAGTCCACCACTGTCCCCTTTCGCGTTAGGGCAAAGAATTGCTCATAGAAGTCTCCTCCCATACTAGTTTGGAAACCTTCCAACAAGCAGTCCTTAAACTCTCTCTAGGGCCATATGGGTTGCCTCATATCCTTCCACTGGTACCATGCTAAAGATTTCCCCTCCAAACACATTTCGGCCACCTTCAGTCGATCCTCCTTTGTCAACCTATTGACAATAAAATATATTTCCACCATGTAGATTCACCCTTGTACATCCTCTCCCTAAAAAATAGGCATCTTTAACTTCCTCACTCTCAGATCCCCTCCGTCGAAACCTTCTTTCCTCCATAAATTTCCATTTCCCAAAGGTGTGGTTTCCCCCAAGTGTGCCAATCATTTCTTCTCCACTCATACCCAAACCTTTCATCACAAGCCCACATTTTCCCTTCAAATTCAATACCCCTTTGATCATAATCAAGCCCTCGTTTTTCAAATTCGGCACCCCTTCGATTTAATCAAGCCCTCTCCTGTCAAATTCAACATGCCTCCGCTCATGCCCACGCCTCTCCCCATGCCCTCGACCTGACTCCCTAGAAATATTCTCTAGGGGAATCATTCTCTTTTCTCCCTCCACAATCTCCGCCTCCTGATCTTTCCTTCGCCTTTTCGGATTAGGGTTTTCCCCACTTCCTTAGCTATAAACGTCTTCCCTCGCATCTGACGACGCCGTTATGGTTTAATCCTCGAGCAACTTTTTCAAAATCGCCTCCAGGATGGAGAATTTCTCTTCAAGCTTCTCGTAGACGGCTGAAACTTGACTTTTGAAATATGAAACTTGAGTTTGGAGATCTGACATTTTATATTTCAATTGTCTGATCTCCCCCTCCTACACTTCTACCTTTTTTCCTGCTATGAGTACCTGGATCTAGGCTCCAAACAACAAAAACGACAAAAAAAAAAGTTCTGACCTTCAAACAACTAAAACAATAAGATCGGAGAGGAAATAACAACAAAAATTAGCAAGGAAGACCTATTATTTTAGCCCAAGAAATTGCTTTGATACCAATTTGATTGGAAACACTTGTTGAAATCACAATAAACTTGGCTGAATTTGAATTTCAACGAAGTGCAAAATCAGAAATAAGACGAATGTGGAGAAAACACAAGCGAGAAATAATTATATTGATAGTGGATGGAAGAAAACACACAAGATACCATGGATCTTCAATTGAAGAGGAGGATTCAGCTCTCCGAATATCTAGCCGGTGGCTAGAGCCCAAAACACCTGAAGAATACTCTCAAATTCAACAAACAAGACATCACCCTAACCCTAGGAACATCACCCTACAAAGCATACAAAAATATCCCAAATCCCCAAATAGCCTTTGCCTTTTAATTCTTTCCCTCCTAGCACTCTAGTATTCGTCCCCCTTGATTGGCGAAAGCCTGTCTAAAACAGGCGGAATTTTCGACCTTAACAGGTGGAAGCTTGTCCGCCTAAATAGGCGGATTTGTTCCTCCAAACACAACCTAAGAGGATTTGATGATCCTCTTGAATTTTCTACTTGTGTAGTGTTTTATTTTCTTGCACTTCTTTTATTGCAATCTTTTATATTTTTGTTCTCATGTTTATAATCCATTATAGAAAAATTATAAATCTATTTTCATCCCTCAAAATCCAAGTGGAAATCCCATTGTCAGTGTTGGCCAAGTCATTTTGTTTTGTTGGACTAGATTCATTATTGCAAGCAATTAACCAACTCAAACTCCATGGAACTTCACCAAAATCTCTAGATTACCACATATCATTTACTTCAATTACCCTAAATTTATTTGGGGTTATTCTAGTCAAATTTTTGGAGAACAAACTAGCTCTAGTCAAGTTCCGTTTTTGCTGTTTTCTTCCTATAACCAGTTTCCGGTTTACTATAAAATCGAAAAAAAAAAACTCCACAAAATTCAAACCTTTCAAATCACATCCATAGAGTATCTTTGAACTATTTAGAGTTTTTAAATTCCACTTGATCTATAGAAGACCATACTATCTGGATAGAAGACCAAGTGGAATTCCAAACACTGGTTAGTTCTAGATAGAACTAACCAAACTCACTTCCAAAACACAATAACCTTATTAAATCATTCCCGACTCGTACAAAACTTTTCATAATTAAAGTAGACATCACACCTTCAAATCAAATACAAATTTACTAGATTTAGATTTTTGAAGAGGAATATCCATTGGGTGGAAGCTTGGATTCTTCAGTTTTGGATAGATTGTAGGAAGTATGTCTGCCCAACATCAAAATTTCATGAACCTTACTACCACACTATATTAACTCTTCCAAATTAAGCCTCATTCTTCTAATTATTTTGGAAGAGTCTGCTGTCCACCAATTGATCACTTCTGTGATATAAAACTTGAGCCACCAACCCTCATTAAAACGTTTAAGAAAGTGTGTTGCCATCATACTTGAACCTTCATGATCATATTTTGGATGATATTTTGAGATTCATGTGTCAATAGCAATGGCCCTAACGAGTTATCATAATTTAATGATTTCATCTTATGGCTATATGTGATGATGTGTTGATCATAGGGAATCAATTGTTTTTCCTACAATAGATATGGGAAAGCATATAATTTTGAAAGAAAAGTGAGTAAACTTCATAGTTTGAGTTCTAAGAAAAGAGAAACTTGATAGAGATGAAAAGTGGGTTACCCATAATACACATAATTGATGCATGAATAAAAGCTGATAGTATTATTCAAGTGGATAATAAGAGAATACAAATATAGTTTTGTAATTCTAGGTTGCCATGGGCCATTGTCTACTTAAACAACAGAGTTTGTTAGCCCATTGATCAAAGGATCTTTATTGGTAAGCACGGGCTATGTCATTCAATGGAACATTGTAGACCTAGCGTAGATGTTTGTCAAATGGGATAATTTTGAGATGATATCGGCTAAAAGAGGACATTGTGTGCTATCTAAGGCTCTGAAAATCGGACGGGACAATGAACCGGAAGAAGGAGAGGTTCATGGTTCGACCGGTTTGACCGGGGTCGAACCGGATGATGTAATAAATAATAAAATTAATATAATAATATGATGATCTAACCTTAAACTTAAACACAAATTCATTATATATAGTGTATGTATAGTGAACTTGAGAAGTGAGAACTTTTTTTTAGGTTGTTGTCCCACATCACCTAGACAATATATGTTAGCATTGTTTTTGTCTATATAAGCTTTTTGGCTCCTTTAGTTAAAAAAGGCACATGATATGATGGGCCATGTGCCATGTTATAAAGCATTTTTTATGCTTGTTTAATTAAAGTGTATAAATTTTAAATTTATTTGTTAAGTCAAATATTTAATAATAAATGTATTAAATATTTTATTTAATAAAATATTAGCCAAACCAGTTTTTGAAAACCGGCACCGGTTCGCCGGTTAACCGGTTGAACTGCCAGTTCAATCCGGTTTTTGGCTAAAGCGGTTTTTACAAAGTTCCGGTCTGGCCGGCGGACCGATTCACGGTTCAACCGGTTGAACCGGCCGGTCCGGTCCGGTTTTTAAAGCATTTGTGCTATCAAATTTCCCAATGATTTATAAAGGGGGTTGAGGCATTGGGTAAGATACATATATATATTTTAGTTGTTATGATAATTTAATGATTTCATTTTGGATGGACCACTTGGTCTGAGGGCCCCAATAATAACCATATCTTTGTGGTGCCATTTTGCATGTACACCTTTTGTTAATAGGACATATGTCATTTCTTTACTAACATAAGATATTTTGTGAGTAATCATAGCAATACACTTGATATGATATTGACTATTTGTAAGCTCAGGTTGTCATAGATTTTTCATGCTCGATAGACTAATACAGATAATGGGTTGTTGCTTTAAGCTTTAGGTGGTTAATTTTACTTAAACATTTTTAGATTTTATTAATTTATTTAAGTATTTTTTTTATCGAGAGATTGGCCCAAAATAATTTTTCTTTTGTAAATTGGGGATATTTTGATAATAAGATACCCTTTGGCTGAGATTTTCTATTAAGACGATCATCATCGAGGTAAAATATTGTTTGCTTCTTTTATATTTATAAGTAAAGGGTTTGATTTTGAGAATGTTCCCCTTAAAATGCATGGTATTTTTGCCCATCGTAGGAGTATCTGATTGATTGCATTTAATTGCTTGGAACCTTGTCAAGTATGTCTGTTCATTTACCGAGGATCTTTCATATATTTATGTTTTGTATTTAAGTTCATTTGGACATTCACCTCAGTATATACCTTGTCGAATCTAGCTTTGTATGTAGAGGATTGGGCTTGTGGGTTTAACTCATGTCTATCTTCTAGGCATGACATGTAGAGTTTGCACTTCGATGGACAATTTTTTCGTGTATTTGATAACTTTTTATTCAAATTTAGCCTATCTTTTGTGTTACCAGACAGTTGGAATAAAAGCTCAAAATGGGTAACCTTTTAGTCCATGCTTAGATACTTTGAAGCTGCTGACATGATACTCTCTATTATTATTGTGGAGTAACGATTACCTGCTATCAGTTGTTTAGGTTTATTAGAATTCAGCAGGATCTTAGACTCTAGCCAAACTCAAATAGTTGTGTTAAGATCAATCATGATGATTATGAACTGTGTACTGGCCATCTCCAAATATCGACACACACCCATACCCACTCACAGCAGATGTATAAGGGTGTGCGTGTGCGCAAACAAAATGGAAATTGGTTCCAGATAATAGAAACTATTTGATCTCCTCTTTTGGTGGTCATTATCTAAACTTAAGCTTTATGTAATATTATCTTTCTTCGGCAGTGCCTATCGTAATCTCTACTACGTATTTTTTGTTGAGGAGAGAATTAAGTACCCATGTCATGCTACGCTTTCCAGTTATGTAATTTTTGTCCTTTCTTGCAGGTGCCTTGGCATACTTCTTCAGAAAGTGGATGACGGATTATATGTACATGAAAAGATAGAATGGATGTATAGACATGCGAATATATCAGTTCCTGTGAATAGGCTGGGACTTGCTAAAGGCATGGGATTGGTATGTTGGGAGTAGTTTGGGAAGTTTCTTTTAAAGGAAAATAGATCAAAATGGTTCTTGGATTATTTATGGGGAGCCGTTTTAATTCTAGGCTATCTAATGTACTCAATTTAGTACATTTACGCTGCAAATCTGATCCAAAATAATTGCTCCTCAAAAAATTGATCTATAATAATCTAGCATGGGGACTATTTTGGATCATTTTTGAGGATTCATTGGATTAAATTGAATGTTTTAGATAGTTGGGACTAAAATATCATATAAATAATCTAGGGACTATTTTAATCTTTTTCTCATTTTTTTTATTGCTCTGTTTTTTGAAATCTATAGGCCTTGATACCTGCAGGTTGCTGCTTCTCATTTGGATACTGTCTTGGAAAAGCTGAAAACAATCCTGGATAATGTTGGGCAATATAGGTTCCAAAGGTAAATTTTTTGATTTTATTGGTTTTATGGTATGCAACTAGTGAAGTTTCTCGTACAAAGCATGACATAACCACCTAAGAAAATTTACTATCTAGTCTCTCTCTATCATGGTTTAAAATTGCGCAATAAGAGGCGTGCCTCAGCGCAATTTCGTCTCTTTAAGCCTCAAAGCCCACGCAATGAATTCAGGATTTGAGGCGTAAGCCTCAAGTTTACTGTGGTGCGCCTCGCCTCATGGTTGAGAGGTGTACGCCTCTAAAAATAAAAAAAAGCTAATGTACATGCTCGGTACCGCTAGGTACATGCTCGGTACCGCTCGGTACATGCTCGATACTGCTCAGTACATGCTCGGTACCGCTCGGTACATGCTCGGTACTGCTAAGTACATGCTCGGTACCGCTCGGAACATGCTCGGTACCACACGATATCTTTCCATACAAACAACTTACGAACTTTAAAATAAGCATAAATTTAAAATTGCTCTTACAATAAAATTTTGTTCTGGGGGCGCTGCCCCTGGAAACCCTTGCAGGTCAAACCCTGCCAGGGGGTAGCGCCCCTTGGACCCCCGGCAGACCGGTATATTATTATATTCATGTTGTCTTATTATTGGGATATTTTGATTGCACTTCATATCTTGTGTATTTTTATGTTTTATATATTATTTACTCATTAGTCTATAATTTTATCATTTTATGTTTACGCAATTTTTTGATTTTGAGGCTTACGCCTCAAAACGCCTTGAGGGTTACGCCTCGCCTCACGATCGAAAAACACCTCAATTACGCAATTTTAAACATTGCTCTTTGTCTTCACCCTATTCTACCTCTTATTATAACTTGCATTTTTTTTATTAACAATTGGATACTCTAACTTCATAGATTTTTCTTATTTTCTATTTCATATGTTTATATAATAGATGAATGAATTAGTTACTAAAGAGGGCGAAAGATGTATGTTTAAGTTAGCTAAGCAAGAAGATAGGAGAAGTAAGGATCTAGTTCAAGTGAAGTGCATGAGGGATGAATATCAAAAAGTGCTTTTTTTAGTAGAGGATCTTCAATATAGGTGGATGAGATATTTTGATAAACATTTAAATGAAGATTATATGAGTAGGATTGATTTTAGTAATCTTAACGCCTCAAATGAAAATAGGAATTTTCGTTTTTTGCGTCGTATTAGTAAAACCGAATTTAGGAAGCTTTAAAGAAAATGAAGCGTTGAAAAGCAGTTGGATATGATGATATTTTAATTGATGTGTGGAAATGCTTATGTGGGAGAGAGTAATTGAGTACATATTACGATGTGATACTTATGTTTCTCAAAATTAGTTTGGATTCATGCCGGGTAGGTTTACTCTAGATGCTATACATTTTTTGAGAGGTTTTATGGAGAAGTATAGAGAGAGTAAGGAGGATTTACATATATTATTTATTGACTTAGAGAAAACTTATGTAAAGTTCAAGAGAAGTGCTTTGGAGAATTCTAGAAAGAAATGACTTAATAATGCTTATATTCAAGTTATTAAGGATAGGCTTATAGCAGCTATTACTAATTAAGTTGGTTTGACCAAGTATTTTCCTATTTTAGTTGGATTACATCAAGGATCAGCTTTAAGCTCATATCCTTTTATTTTAGTAATGGATATTTTTAATAGACATTTGCAAGAGGATATATCCTAATATATGCTTTTTGCTTAAGAAATTTTTCTTGTTGATAAGACTAGAGAGGGAGTTAAAGGAAAACTTGAATTGTGGAGGTCAACCTTAGAGTCTACAAGTTTTGTTTGAGTAGATCTAAAACTGAATATATGGAGTATAATTTTAGTAGTAATAGATCTAGTGGGGGGATTGTGCTTTGGGCGATCAAGTCATTAAATGAGTACACGTTTTAGATATCTCGGGTCTATTTAATGGTGAAATAGATGGGGATACTGTTAGCAGAATCTAAGTTGGATGGTTGAAATGGATGATTGCATTGGTCTTGTTTTGTGATAGAAAAGTACTCAAACTTGAGGGAAAATTTTATTAGATGGTTGTGAGACCTACAATGCTTTATGGCGCAGAATGTTGTCCATTGTAAGAGAAGCATTAAGTTAAGTGTTGAAGAGATGAGGATGCTCAGGTGGATGTGTGGCTTTATATTTAGAGACATAATGCGAAATGGGTATATTCGTGAGAAGGTTGGAGTAACTACAATGGCAAATAAGATTAGAGAGGTCGCTTTTGATCGAATCCTTGATCTTAGGTCACCTTGGGGGCAACCTAGCCTATATTGTAGAGCTTTTCTATTGCTTATTTACTTTTCTTGACGGTCAAAACAATTAGTTTTTTTTTCTTTTCCGTGAGTGTAGATGGTTAATGAAGAGAAAGATATTTCAAATAACTTGTGACCTGCTGGATAATGTAATTGATTTTTCCTTGTGATCTTTTAGTGTTTAGACATTTGAACTATTTGCTAATGTAGGACCTCTAAGGGTTTAGGATTTTAAATACAAATCTTACATGAGATGTGAAATTCCATCCTGTTAACATGAAATTTATATGATAAAATGGTAATCCAAAATAGAGGACTTCGTTGATGAAAACCAAAAACATGATGAAAATCAAATTAGATTAAAAGTCAATGGTGTTATATTAGATGAGAAAAAGGATTAAAATGATCCCTCAACTCTTTGTAAGGGATCAAAATAGCCCCGAACTCTTTTGAATGACCAATTTGGTCTCTCAACTCTTTAAAATGAGACATTTTTGGTCATAACATCTAATGTTGGAGTTAATGGTATTAAATATAAGAGTAATTTGGTAATTTTTTAATTAAATATTTATTTAATATAATTTTCAAGTAATTATAATTTTTTTATAAAAAAATTATCAAACATTTTTTTTTTAATAAAAAGCACTATAAAAAGCCTCATACTCTGTAAGGGGGGGGGGGTAACTTCTCTCAAAAAATTTTGAAGTTCTAACTAAATCATTGAATTTTTTTTTTGGGAACGGGTATCCACCCGCTGCCACACTCAAAAGGACGCTTGGTGGCATGACTAATCCTTGACTGACTTAGAAGAGGCACCCACCCCAAAAACCTCCTAGCCTGCACTTAATTGGCCCCACTTAAGAGGCGCTGCCGCTCAAGGGGAATCGAGCATAGGTTGGGGGGTTCCTAACCGTACTCGCTGCCAACCAAGCTAAGCAATGGTGGGTAATCATTGAATTTAATATTGGAAGAAGAAAATGCTCATCCAACTATAGATTTTTTCAGAAACCTATGAGTTATGCGCTTGCTTCATACCACTATTTTTAATTACAAAATTAATTGGAAATTCCTTGCATTGACTTAAGCGTGCAATTGGATCACAGAAGTTCAACACTCATTCCCTAAAAGGTACGATCAAAGCTGAAAATGTTGGTACTCCTCTGCATCTCTTATAACAAAAATAGGGAAGAATTGATCGTTATGAAGTAGCTACGAAATTTGGGATAAGCATCATATCATATCAGGGAATGACCACAAAGCAGGGAATTTGGTGCTGATTTGACATTCCAGCAGCAATAAAGAACTGAATGCAAGAAACAACAGGATAACTATTGAAGAAATAGTGGATTCAGCTGCGGATCTAAAGTAAGGGAACCATTGGCTAGCGATTAGGGAATCATCTTGGAATTCAACAATAGTAAGCAGCAAAACAAGCGAGGTAGTCAAATACCAGTATAACTCCAAGACATCACTAAGAAATCCTCAATGGGCTTTTATAGTTAGGGAAACATCCTATAAATGTACATATAAACTCCTAATAAGTTCAAAATTCTAAAAAAAAGTAAGAAAAAGTTCAAATAAGTAATTTTTTTAGAATGATTTCTATATATATATATATATATATATATATATATATATATATATATTATAAGTTCTAGAATTATTGGTCTTTTCTCCCTAGGTTACATGTTGTGAGGGCTAGTGCTTGGAGCATTCATGTCAAGATGGATTATATATTCATTCTTTTCTGTTTACTCAAAGATGTCAAACAGAGAATTGAACTTTGGATCTCGAGCTTCTCTTCTAAGTTCTAATGTTCATGACATAGTTGTGAAGATTAATGCTGAGTTTGATCACTTCCATTCTATTTATGTATTCTTGTATTAGTAAATTCATCTAAGTATATTTAGGAATATCCTCAGTAGTATTTTAGCAAGATTAGTCATATGATAACTATCCAATGAAATCTAAAAATACTCCATTTGAGTTAGCCAATCTAATTATTTATTGGGTGTTGTAATTTGTTCGATCATTAGTTTTAATTTTCCTCTCGGGATTATCATTTTTGACCTTTGTGCATACTCCGCAATCCATCACAGTCAAACAAGATAAGAATAAAGGCCAACGGATGCAACTTTGCGTAAGCCCCTTTTGAAACACATTGCAAGCATCAAAGTCAATTGACCATTGTTCGTTCCACAAAATGGACTACATAGATGCATTCTTAGTGTTGAGGTTACCGAATAAAGATATTTGCATTTCAATTCGATCAAGTGTAATCGAATTGTTTCTTGGCTACCGTGAGCTTTTAGGCTACGTGTAGAGGACCCTTTGCCTCCATATGGGCCAGCCTTTGTTTCCCTACCTGTACAAGTCATCATACATATTTTAACTGGTACGGATAGGTTTGCCTTTGTCGCCCTACTTGTATAGGTTATCACATTACCATCATATCCATATACATGATCTTTCTAAAACTAATTCCATTATATTTTTTGTTCAAACATCTAGAGGTATACATCAAATTTTCCTCTTATAACTTTATAAAGGTGCACTTTTAAATTGAAACAAATTAAATTTTTAATATTGGATGTTTAAACTTTCGTATTAAAGGCAGATAATGAAATAAACCCATGTAACATATCCTTTTACACTTTCATATAAAAGACAACTGATAAAATTTAGTTTGTAATCAAGTTCCTTTCTGAAATTAGAATTTTAATAAAATTTCTCTTTGACATTAAAATTTCATACTTGCCTCAAATCGACAACGTTGTGATTAACCCTCAAATTGACTATCTCATTACTGTCACCCCAAAATCTCTTTTATTTGTAGACAATGTAAATAATAGAATTAGCATGTTAAAGCAAATTCTTACTTCAGACACAATTTAAAATTAATTTAAACTCAAAACAATATCGATATTTTGAATATTACATTTGTGTGCCACTACTTTTGTGCTAGATTGCTGATTTCTATTGTCCTGTTGTGGTATAACTGAAGTTGGATGTGGGTTTGTGATTTTTTGTTTTCTGGCTGGCCCCAAAAAGACTTTAGGTGTTTACATACTTTGCAGGAATTTACTCTTAGATCTTGTACATGTAGAGCTAGAATTATGGGGATGGAATGGCACTGCATTTCTTGGTAGCAGTAGGTATTCATTAACTATGCTTTCCAAGAATCTGTAAAATTGGCAGAAGTGACGAGTCAACTGTGTTATTTTGTTTAAGTGATCATACTGCTTCATTTTAATGTGAGCTGTTGTTGGCTCATATGTTACGTGATTGCTTCTGTTTGATTTATCTTTTTATGAGCAGGGCTCATGTATTGGTAATTCGATTTCGTGCAGGCTATTTTCATTCTTTTCCAATAGGGCTAAGGTTGAAGATGCTGACGATATACATGCTGCACTAGCATTGATGTATGGATATGCTGCAAGATATGCTCCGTCAACAGTCATAGAAGCTAGGATTGATGCACTTGTGGTATCATTTTTCTTTTTCTTGTGCCTAATTCTCCATGCATTGCACACCTTTCCTAGATCTTCCATTCTTTCTGTTACATTTAGCCATGAGATTTTTATTCATTTTTAAGAAGATCCGCGAGAGCTTTTTGGTATCATAGGACTGGCATATGCCGTTCATGGATCTCATGTTAATTATACATTTCTTTTAATAGATTAAGTAGCAACATTTGTGCGCTCAATTACGTAAAAAATATATAACCGAGTTTTAGTTAATGCAGTTTCACAAGGAAAGAGGTTTTCAAGTTATTTGCTTGTTTCATATGCGGTGCAACCCAAAATAATCATTGTAACAAGTCTTTATGTTGCTGAAAATTTATATTTGACCGTTTAAGATACATACGTTGTGATTCACTTGGCATCTACACTTGGCATCTACAAGGATTTATAAGAGAATAATTCATATGGATTATTTGCACAACAACAATAAAAACAACATCATCAAGCCTTTATCCCACTGTGGGTTGGCAACATGCATCCTTTTTTTCAATTTTCTTCTATTAAGAGTCAAACTCTTATTCAAATATAATTAAAAAAAAGGTCATTCTAATACTTTATAACCAAGCCTTTTAGGTCTACCTCTATTTTCTTAACATAGGTCAAATCTAATACATCTACTCTCCTAAATGGGTTATCGGAAGGCCAACGTTTTAATTGCACACCTGATAAAATTCATGTTCTCTTTTTTATTTTATTTTATTTTTGCAATTATGGTATTTAATGGGATTCTTTTTTAGAACTAGAATTGGTCTTCTTAAAGATTGTTTTTTTCCAATGCAAACCTATTCTACTCACAAGAGTAGACCAATTAAGAATTATTTTGAAAATTGGATCGAACTGATTGGTTCGATCGGTTCAACTGAGAATCGGTTGGCTAGCTGGTTCGAATTTTTTCTAAAACTGGCTTTGTAATGAGCCTCCTAAAACTGGTTGGAACTGATAATACGACTACCAAATCGGTGAACCGATCCTAGATTTTAAGAATGTTTAATAATTATATATTTTTTATAATTAATTTTTTTAAAATAAATTTAATAAATTAAATTAAATTATTAAATTTAAATTTGAAATAATTTTAGATGTGTTATAATAATCAATTTTTAAATAAGCTCCAACAATGCTTACTCACATGACATTACATCCATGCGATTTCTTTGCTCATTCAATTCACAAAAAGCTATATAAAATTATTGACAATTCTAACCTAAAGTGTCCAGATGATGTGAAAATAAAGAATTAAAGTGAAGATCCCATGTTAATAATATAAACCACATATTTTAAAACATAAGTTTTAATTAATTTGGTAATATAAATAATAATTTTTTAGTTAATAATATTTAATATTATTTATTTAGTGGTTTAATTATATAATATAAAAACTAATTATTTATTTATTTTTAATTATAAATAATTTAGTATGAATTTTTAAATATAATATTATAAAGTAAATTTTATAATATAATTTATTGGTGTAAATTTATATCTAAATATATAACATAAAATTAGTAATTATTTATATTAAATTATTATATTTATATATGAACTAAATTTTTATTAAATATGAATTAAAATCAATAAATTGGGATATTAAACTTTAAAATATTTAAATATATAACAAAAATTAATAATTATTTATATTTAAATTTAAAAATTATATATATATTATTTATGTATGAATTTATTTATTTTAAGCCTTAAATTATATTATTTCTATAATTATTACATTGTTATCTTATCATTTAAATATTTTTAATATTTGTTACGCTAATCTAGTTCGACCCGGGTTCAATCCCGGTCAAACCATTGAACCTATAACCTCTTTCTTTTCTGTTTTCTATCTCCGGTCCAATTTTTACAATCTTGCCATTAAGTATGCTAGTGAATACTAGGTAAACATTTGATTTACTCATTGAATTTTGTAAGGTTGATCCTTGGAGGATGGGAAGATAATTTTTAGAGCTTCTATGAGTAAATCATAGTTTTTAATTATCATTTGGGATTCTGAAAGCTCGGTTAGCGTGGGAATACCTAATAGGCATTAGATTGATCTTGTAAAATTACTGAGAGGTGAATAAATCCAAACTGACATTTACTCTGATAGTTGATCCCCAAATCATGTTGTCATTATCCCCATCCATCATGTTAATCTCCATGGCAGTTGTTGCCCGCATACTTATATCTTATCTGTAAATGAGGGGCTTTTGTTGGAGGGCGTCAGTTATTGGTTGGTGATGGGTATTAAATTACTTGTCTTTGGAGGCTAGGTAAATGGTGTGAGGATAGCATATTGGTAGCTTTCCAGAAGCCATTAATAGTCTCACTGATGTAGAACGGGAACGCCGGCTTTGCTACGAAGAGGATCTCCTCTCCAAAATCTGAAATAAATTCTGATTTCTTTGCCCAAAATGAGAAGAATCTCAGATTTTCTCTTGGTGGGAGAGAGGTTGCAAGCTCCCAAATACCCTTCTAGAATTCTGGAATTAGCTTCAGGTTTTTATTCAAAATCTGAGAGAAAGTGGACAGCAAGCTGCAGTCTTAAAAATGAAGAGAATTAATGTGAGAGGCTTCGGAAGATTTCGGCCAGCAGGAGTTAATAAAATGGAGAGGAAAAGCTGAGGAGAAAATTCCTTCACAGGTTCTGGAAAGGAAATTCCAATCCCAGGTTTTGGAGAAAAGGGGGAACGACGAGACAATAGAGAAGTTAATGGAATTCAAATCCCGAAATCAGTGAAATGATTTGGGGATTTAGAAAAGGAATTAAGGCTGAGGAAACTTCGGCTCTAATTTGAATTTCAATGTAGAATAATGGGTTTGGAGGTTTTCCAATTAATTCCTGTAGGAATTAATGAAATCTGAAACAGCTGGGGAAGCGGTGAGCTGAGAGGTAAATTAGGAAATAAAATTAAATTCCTAAGCTGTTACGTGAAGAAGCTCACGGGATTGAATTGGATTGAGGCTCCTGTTTCCCAGCTGACGGGATTGAGGATGAGGAGGGAATTAATCACGGGATTAATTCCAGAAATCTGGCCAGCATGCAAGAGGTTTAAATTCCCCAAAATCAGTGAGAAAAAAAAAAAACTGCTGGCTTTAAATAAAAATTTGAAAAATATTTCAGTTTTTTTTTTTTTTTAAGCTAGGAAGTTTCCTAATAAGAGGGTATTAATTAAGCCAATTTGAATCAAATTCAAATTGAAATCTAATTAATTTTGAAGACCTCAAATTTAAGGAGCTAAATTAGGAAAGTATCAAAAAACTCATGAGAGCTTTGAATTTCAAATTCAAAGCTCAAAAGGGGTCGGCGGGTGGAGTGGTGGGGAAGATGGCCGGCGACCAAGAGGGTGGGGATCGGGTGAAGGTGGCCGGGGCGGCTATGGGGGAATTTGTGGAGCTTGGTATGGAGGTTTGGCCGAGGGGTTGAGAAGGGAGGAGGAAGAAAATGAAAACAACGATGGGAAGAGGGAAGAAGGAAGAAATCAAAACAAAGATAAAACGAAAGGTAGAAAATCAAAACCGCAAGCCTTCGACTCTTCCGAAGGCTGACGGGTGATGGTTGCCCTTCTCCAAGGGACTTCAACTCACGAGCCCGACCCATCCTGCGGCTGTGACAACTTTGATTCCTTCCCATAGGAATCTCACTCTCATTCTCTCCCAAGAACAAAGTGTGGAACACAAAAATTTTCATATCAATTCACCCCCTATTACAATAGATAAAGGCCATATATATGACCAAAAAATGAGAAAAATAAAAATTACAAAATTGCCCCTCGGGCTACAACACTCAAATAAATTAACCTAGGGGTAAAACAGGAAATAACATAAAATAGAAACTAAAATGCAGAAAATAATTCATAAATGACACTTAAATCAGAGCCGTCGATTTACGACGCCTCCTGTGATAGATGCGCCAGATTTTCGTGCCGATGTCCGCATCACTCACTGCTGCTTCTCTACCTATGATGGAATTAAGGATGGTTGGATGATTTTTTGTCATTTATAGCATGTGGAGGATGAATACTGGTGGATGATAGATGCGCCAGATTTTCGTGCCGATGTCCGCATCACTCACTGCTGCTTCTCTACCTATGATGGAATTAAGGATGGTTGGATGATTTTTTGTCATTTATAGCATGTGGAGGATGAATACTGGTGGATATGGATTGAGAGTGCAAGAGCTTCTTACTTACGGCAAGTGCGACCTGATAGAAATGATGACTGATGAGGAGGTCACACAAGTAATTATTATGTATTTGATTCCACACGCTTCTTTCAAAGAACTCATCCTTTGTTTTGTACTCTGTTTGTTCTTGCCCAAAAAAAAATTCATAAACCACTTGTAAAGGCTATGCACACTTTTTAAATGTCCTTGTGGACATTCTTTTTCCTGCATGCTCTGCAAGGAATTTAATGGACCTGGATAGGTTATTCTCAATGTAAATGCTCCTTTGTTACACTTCAAAATTTATCTTCTCTTGACTAGTTAAAATTTGCTGACTTTGATGATTTTGAGGTTTCTTAATCCACAATCATTCAATGGACCCAAAATAGCCAGATAACCATGCAACATTGAATAGAAAATTTAATGACCGTTTCTTAATTTGCAGCCCCAAAACTATGAATCACTCCTTTTCTACGGACTCCAAAGGTATTGGTTGAACATCTTGCTTCCCTTCCATGGCTCTAAAGCTATAGGAATTCCTCTTAACCTTAGTTCAAAGGCCAAGTGTTAACTTACTTTTTATTTGGCTCAAAAGCTAAAGAGAGCCTCCTAATCCTTAGCCCAAAAACTATATGTTCTATCATATTTCCTTCAACCTCAAAGCTCTAAGGATTCCCACTCAACCATTAGCCTCAAAGCTAATTTTGGTGGAATTTTGTCATCCTCAACGGACGGGAATATTTTGTGATTAAACACGACATCAAAAATATATGCCTCAAATGATAAAAACATTATTTTACTATGGA